TAATAAAACAATATCAAAAACAAAAATAACGCATCATACCTCCTATTTAACACAAATAATATTTTGACATCTATGATTTGCCAACTTTTTAAACCAATTTTATTTTTACTTTCATAGTTTTATCTTCAACTGCTTATAGTTTTAACTGTCTTTAGTGTGCTTAGAAATGGTTTTTACCAGCTTGTAGCCAAGATTCTGACATTTCTGTGGACACCAAACATGTCTTTGTTTAACTAAAAGAACTTAGAGTAATTAAAGTAGAAAACTGGTGGTCTGGGCTTAAGAGATGAATGAACCAATTGGCGGGCCGAATTTTGGTCACTCGCGGGTCGGATGTGGTCCGCAGGCCGCCAATTGAATAGCCCTGGTGTACAGTAAAATTGGGGCCCAGGTGGTCATGGCAAAAGGAGATGTAAAATTGTTACTCTTTGTAACAAACATGCACCCCAAAAACCCTACATGAGTGCAGTTGAAAATGAAAAGGGTGGTGGTGTGTGGTGGGGGATGGGGAGAAAAATGACCACTGACCCTGATAGGCACCCCCGTTCCCCGAGACCCACCCAGAGAATGAGGCCCCAATACCTCTTCCTCCAGACAGACCGCCAGGCCTGTGGAGCCTTAGACCACGGCAGAACAGAACCCAGAGGACTGCCAGAAACCGGGACCAACAGTCCACCCACCCCAGAGCCGTCCAAAGCCCAAAGACTCGACCCCCAGCAACCCAAGGAAGCCACCGAACCACGGCAAGGAAGATTCAGCCAAGAGTGCCCCCCAGCCGCCGACAGAGCGAGGAGGCCACCGAGAGTGAACCCCCACCACAACACAGGAGCCAACCAGTGGACCCAGCACAGCCCCGAGCTGCCATAATGGGCAATCTACTCTACCCCCACCCCAGAAGAAATACTACACACACCCCAACATTCAGACACCTCTCAGAACATATAACACACTAGACACCCAGGCTGAGTCGACCTTCAGATTGTTTTGTTGTTTAGCTCTGATGAAAAGCTATCATTTCATGACATCATCGTGTTTCTATTCAACTGCCTCCTAGCAGTATTCAAAATAATCAAAACACAGGACTGACAGTTGTTTTTTCAAGCCTAAACATGATCAGATCTTGATGAAATTTGGCACAGATGTTGTCCTACCTGACTTACACTGACTAGGTTAGAATAAGTCCAACAGCTCCATGTGCATGTTCATTAACTCCACCCAAAACAGCCTCTGTGGATCATTTCTGTAGTTGTAAAGCATCTACAGAACAATTTCCTGGACAGATTAGTACATAAATGACATCATGCATGTGAAATGTGGTTTGTTTCATTATCATTTTACTCAAATAGACTATCTGTTTGTTTTCCATCAACAAAATATTTTATTTGTAATAATCATTCCAAAGTCACTTCTCATATAAAAACTATAACATCTTAAATTAAACAGCTGCTACCTGTAAGTGAGTTCAGGTGCGTGGGTGCTTTGTGTATGTGTGGGGATCATATATGCTACTGCTTTGTAGTATCTAGTTTTAATTTAAAATTCTGGCATGAAACAAGGCCTTTAATTAAGATTTAGTAGTTATTTTTGGAATGATGAAAATGTTCAGTTTTGCTTTGCTCTCATGTTCTGTTGCTCTGCGTGTTAAATACCAGTTTATTCTACGCAACAAACGCCACAAAAAGCCTCAAGTCTTTGAGAAAAGGGTAAAATCTGTTTTATCTAGCCCCATGTTTTAAACTGTAACCAGTCGATTAAAGACTTGTCAGGATGAGGACCCTCTCCCAGCAAACACTCCTAGTTTGTGTTACTGTGGGCACATTTTTGCTACATCATGGGAACCATTTTCAAGAAAAAGGCAGCGTCTTGGGGACCAATACCCAGTCCCCACAGGTACGGATGCTGATTTCAGGTATGGGGGTTAGGTTTAGGATCAAGGTGTGAATTGAGTTTAGGTTAATTTTAAGGTCAGGTACCTGTGAGGTTAATTTTAAGGTAAATGGTCAGGGTTAGGATATAAAAACTACTAGATATTGCAGTGGTCACCTAAGGGTGGAATAAACAGTTCCACCTGTCTTTGACCTTAGTCTCAGAAGACTTAACTGAGACTAAGTTTTCATTTAATTAAACTTTGCATTAAGTTTTATTTTGAAACATTTTATAATTATTTTTATCTGAATCATTATAATGAATGTTCTGTATGAAATAATTCATTTTTGTTTCAAATTAAAACTTAACTACAGCAAAGTTTAGTTAAGTGAAATATTTAAATTTAAAAAATCTATAATCAATTACTGTGGTTTCACAGTTAAAGTTCAAGCTGTGATTTACATCAAAGCACAATAAAACATTTTAATAACATTCTTTTTGTGTTTTCTTTTTACTCATTGATAAAATTATGAATAAAAGTTTATTCTGTTTATTATCAGAGTAATAAGTAGAAAATGTCTCTTTACTGTTTAAGAAAACATATTATGACTTTAACTCGAACAGAGTTCTGTCTCTTTAAAGGAGGTCTTCTGAGAGTGAGGTCAAACACAAGTGGAACGGTGTATTCCACCCTTAGGTGACCACTACAATATGAATGGAAGTCAATGACCGGTCCCCACGGGGATGTAAAAACAAACTTGTGTGTGTGTTACACAGCTGATTTAGGAGTATTTGAGCTCATTCATGAGACGTGAGCACCATGTTTGGTAACGGTTTGTGTGACGTGTTCGCTGCAGGCGGATGATGCAGCTTCAGGTGAGTCACAGACAGGTCACATGATCGTGTTTGGAGGGGGGTCTAGTTGCTAAGCAACAAGGCAGGAGACAGGGCTAAGAGAGATGAGCATTCAAAGCA